AACGATTTTTATGGTATAATGATAAATAAAGAAGATAAATAGTTCCAATGAATATAGTAAACAGATTTCTTAGGATTGCACATTGTCTTGATAATCCCGTTTAAAAGTGCGTAAGAAATACAAAACATTTTTTTTCTTTTTTTTAATCGATGTCGTCAAGATCACATTACAGTAGTAAAGAGATGAATATACCGATCTTTCCTTTAAAATTACATTGGCGGTGTTTCAGAGAATTCTTGTGTTATTAGTGGATACTAATGACGCAAGACTCATTCATAAACGCCGCTGACAGGTTAGGATAGTAGTAGAAACAGCTGATGGCGGTGGAAGTTCCTTTAGCATTGATGATAAATTCTCGTACAAATGGATTCGTCTCGAGTGTGATTAGAAGCGAATGGGAGCGAGGGGCGGGACACGCCAGTCGAGTTAAAACATTTGTGACATTTTGTGCCTCTGCCGTCCTGCCGCGGGCACTAGTGATATCCGGCCGCGCCGACGACCACGCGGGCGGCGCCTGAGTGAGCGGCGGCCCCCAGGGAGGCGTCCTGGGCGTGCTGGGTGAGGTAGTTGACGGTGCCGGCGAATCCCGCGTCGTTGGCCAGGGCGAGGACGCCGTGGGCGGCTCCGGCGGCGGCGGCGTCGGCCGTCTGGATGGCGTAGTCCCCGGCGGCGATCGTCTTGGCGGCGTAGGCGTCGCCGGCGCGCTGAGCGATGTTGTAGTACCACGGCTGCTGCTGCGCCGCCGATGGGTAGAAGGCCACGCCCCCGCCGGCGTTCAGGACGTGGGTGCTGCCACCGGCGCCGCCGTAGCCGCCGCCTCCCCCGGCGAGGAGGACATGCACGCCCCCGCTGCTCCCCGTGTAGCCCGTGTAGCCCCCGGAGACTCCCCCGTAGTCCCCGCCGAGGCCGCCTCCGACGCCGATGCCGCCGCGGCGAACCTGGCGACGAGATCCTTATTAGGAAACGGATTCCTTTGGACAAGAAGCTGTTCTAATAAAGCAAATGGTAGAAATGCCAATTTATTCATTATAAAGATCTATTCAAGAATTGTTTCCATGTCTCAGATATGTTATTTCTTAACTGATAATTCCTGTAGATTTTAATGTGTATCGACTAGGTGTATCGAGAGAGAGAGAGAGAGAGAGAGAGAGAGAGAGAGAGAGAGAGAGAGAGAGAGAGAGAGAGAGAGAGAGAGAGAGAGAGAGAGAGAGAAGAGAGAGAGAGAGAGAGAGAGAGAGAGAAGAGAAGAGAGAGAGAGAGAGAGACAGACAGACAGACAGACAGACAGACAGAGAGAGAGAGAGAGAGAAACAAAAGGAGGAAAATAAAGAAATCAAGAGTAAAAGTGAGGAAAGGCCATTGACAAAGAGAATGGACTCACCCTGGAGGCGCTGCTCACTCCCAGCACAATTGTCACTGCAAATATAACGAAAAAAAAGGAAATCACACACGTAAACACAGTTAACTTAATGTATATAAAAAAGAAAAATGCTACGTTTATATTAAAATCTAAATCTGATACGGCATTATAGTTAATGTCAAATAAATATGTGTCATATAGGCATATTCAACGAAATAATTGATAGCAATTTAATCGATTAATATCATCCTACTCTACACATATACTATTTTCTTTCACGAGGCAAGAATCTAAATAATATATCCACGTCAATATAAAGAAAAAATGAACTAAAAATAATAAAACAAGGAAAAAAAAAGAGAAAATAATTAAGGAACAAACACTAAATGAACTAAAATAAAAAAGTAAAACAAGAAAATAAAAAAAACTAAGAGAAAATAATCAAGAAAAAAACACTAAATCAACCAAAATAGAAAAAAGTAAAACAAGAAAATAAAAACCTAAGAGAAAATAAATAAGGAAAAAACAACACTAAATGAATCAAAATAGAAAATAAGTAAAACAAGAAAATAAAAACCTAAGAGAAAATAATCAAGAACCCCCCCCCCCCTAAATGAACCAAAATAGAAACAAGTAAAACAAGAAAATAAAAACATAAGAGAAAATAATCAAGAAAATAAAAACAACAACACTAAATGATAGAAAATAGAAAAAAGTAAAACAAGAAAATAAAAACCTAAGAGAAAATAATCAAGAAAAAACAACAACAACACTAAATGATAGAAAATTAAACACGAAATCTCGTTCTCTCTCTCGTCTCTCGTTCTCAGTCTCTGTCTCTCTCGTTCTCAGTCTCGTCTCTCTCTCTCAGTCTCTGTCTCTCTCGTTCTCTCTCTCTTCTCTCTCTCTCAGTCTCTTCTCTCTCTCGTTCTCAGTCTCTGTCTCTCTCGTTCTCAGTCTCTGTCTCTCTCTCTCGTTCTCAGTCTCTGTCTCTCTCGTTCGTTCTCAGTCTCTGTCTCTCTCGTTCTCAGTCTCTCTCTCTCAGTCTCTCTTCGTTCTCAGTCTCTGTCTCTCTCGTTCTCAGTCTCTGTCTCTCGTCAGTTCTCTAGTCTCTGTCTCCCTCGTTCTCGAGTCTCCCTG